GCCGGATGGCCGATGCTATCCGTGAAGAAACTTTTGTGCCAGAAGAAGAAGTATCATCGCCGGCTTTACCTCTATATAGTGTGAACGTTGAAAACATGGAAGAAAGTTATAATGAGGCGTGTTCCTGTGTAGACGAGCATGGCGCAGACATCTTGCGCCTACGCTTGAGTTTGTGCCTGCGCCCTTGCGCCGCGCTTTTATGCCTTGTCGTGTAGACGAGCCTTAACAGCTTCATGCGTCTGTGATTGAGAAAGAAATCTGATAAGCTCTGTATACCAGCTCAATATAATGCAACATATATACGAATATGTATATACATTTTAGATAAAAAACCGGTCAGTAAACTTTTATAAAACAATACTCTTTGAAATAATACAAGCAATAATAATTTTTATAATTACCTCTCTATATATCTTAAATGTGCATGAATTTTCTTCTAACTATATTTGTAATGTCATCAACTTTTCACGCTTGTTGAATATTTGCATCATGAGCACCAATAGCTAATCCCATCAGATCTTCTCGAAAATTAAATTCATCGGTATATCTAAAATAAGGCAAATTTTACATAATGCAAAAACAGTAATTATCACTTACATCTGCTTATATATAAAATATGATTTTAAAGATAAATCTGTATCAAAAATCTATAGTTACTGTAACGTATACCTTAGATTAGATTTGTACGAGCAAGCAATAAATATAACTAACCTCGCGAGACACCACGCGAGCACACGTCATTGCGTTAAAAGATATTTATTTACCAATATTATCCACATATATTATATATAATAGTGGATTATATATAATAAAAAATCCTACTAACCTCGCGAGACACCACGCGAACACACGTCACGTCGCACGATTTAACACACGCGAAACTCGCCAAACTCGCCGCGATCTCGCGATCGCCGTCAATCTCAACCGCGCCAGCCAATCACGCACGCGGAAAAGCGGCAACATTACGTGCGAGATATTCGACTCGCAAAGCTCACTTCTCGGTAAACATGACTTTTTTTATTATGGACTAGAACAACACAGGCGCGCGCTACGCGCGCGCTTTTATTTTATTTCACGAATAGAACGACACAGGCGCGCGCTACGCGCGCGCATTTATTTTATTTCACGAATATACAATTATACATTTTTTATATTTTTATTAGAAGTGAAGAGGTAAGTCGCTAATATCGACATAGGTCCTCTAAAGCGACACCTCCTTATTTCTCGAACTTAAACACCGCACTTTATTAATGCTGATGAGGACATAATTTACTTATATAATTAAAAACGTAAAAATCCTTACTTTTTTTACACATTTATTGATTTTTATATATAAAATATGCTAAAAACGAATCATTCAAAAGCAATTATTAAAAATAAAATTTACCCAAATCTCTTTTACTAATTGTACAGTTTAAATAATAATAAATATATTATTGATAATATTAGATTATTTTTCATGTTTGTGTAACGTCCTAAAACTATTTAAATTTTTCTTTTTGTTTTATTCTTTTCATATATATAATGCAGTTTTATATTTAAATATAAAATTGAGATGCAACGTAAACTGGCATACTTAGTGATAAAACAAATTATAAGGTAGTAAAAATCAAATAGGATAGAATAAAAAACACAGCACAAGAAAATCTTGCTGCAAAATTATGAGATAAATTTATTGGCATGCTGTCGGCATACTGCCAACATTTTGCTATGTGGGGTAAAGCAATTGTGAAGCAACACACAGTAACAGACTACGAAGGTAGAAAACGAAAGGTTTCAAGTTTAAATCCTGATCGGCTCTGTCAATTTTTCCGTTTACCCCTTTCGCTGTCCAAAATTTCCATCCGTATCTTTTCTCTACCTTCACTACACTCCTTGTTTTCTCGTATATTTCCATGATTCTCTTTCCCAATCTCTCACTCACCCCTAGTTCTTTCGGACATCTTCCCAAAACCCTCCTATCCACTGAATCAAATGCTGCCCTTGGATCTACAAAAGCAACCACTACCTTCTTTTTCCTCTTTAATCGCTTCCTTATCGCATAATTCAGTGTGTAAATGTTGTCTACCACTCCTCTCCTCTTCCTAAACCCTGCTTAGCTTTCTGGGATCATCCCCTTCTCCACCATCTCTTCCCTCAACCTATCTGCTAATATCGACGCGTCCCTCTATGCTCACTCACCTCTTTTGCCCCTCTTTTTCGCTATCGGAACGACTACTCCGTCCTTCCACGTCTCTGGAAAACCCTCTCCATTCCATACTCTCCCATAACGCCTTTCTTAAACCACTTCCCCCATAACTCCACACTTTATTTCCTATCTCGTCCTCTTCCGCCGCTTTACCTTTTTTTAGGCCTTTTAGCACTCTCTCTACTTCCTCCCATCCTATCTCCTTCTCTTTCTCTACTTCCCCCTCCGACCCCTGCTCTCCCTCCTCTCCTTCTCCTAGCCTTCGCTTGTATTCCGTTCCTTCTAAAATCTCCCTAAAGTATTTATCCCACTCCTCTAATGTTATCTCCTAATTAATTTCTACCCTTCTTCTCCTTTCCTTGTTTATTACTTCCCACACCTGCTTCTCTATTCTCGCCTCTCTTGCCTCTTTCAGCAGATTTCTCTTTTTTTTTCCTTTTTCCTCACATTTTTCCTTATACTCCTTTCTTCTCTTATGATCTTCTTTGTGTTTTCTTCCTCTTTTCCAGTCTCTTAATAATTTTTCTATCTCCTCCCTCTTCTTCCTACTGTCCCCATCCCACCATACTCCTTTTTCTTCTGCCCCTCTTTTTACTCTTCTCACCCTTACTTCCATATCTTAATTCTTTTTGTCAACTTTTCGACCTCTTTATCTATTGCCCCCTACCTATTTCTACCTCCTCCGTCCTTCTTCAAAACTTCTTTCTTGCCTCTTCCGACTAATCCGTCTTTTTTACCCACCTCTCTTCCTCCGCTATTGTCCCTCTTCTCTCACCACCACCCCCTTTGTTCAACCGTACTGCTACTGATTGGTGATCCGAATTTACCTTACACTCCACCTGTAATCATGTCACTATTTCCCAAGCTTTTCTATCTCCTATTGCGTAATTGATCACTATTTCTCCCCTTCTTCCTGTAAAAGTCGCCTCCCCCTCCTCACCTCCCTCCTTTGCTCCATTCATAATTTTCCACCCTTCCTCTTCCACCCATCTAATCAGCCCTTCCTCCTACCTATTTATCATTTTATCTTTCGATTTTCTTTCAGCTCCCTCTTCTCCATCCTCCAGCGCTCCTTTCTCCCCTGTTCTCGCATTGAAATCGCCCCCACTATCCATCTCTCCTCTCTCCCTTCTTTCTCTTTTACCGATTTTATCTTACCCACCATCTTGTCCAAGTTGCGCTTACGTAAACTGTTGCCAATCTCCATTTCTCTTTCTTCCATCTTACTTCTCTAATCATTAAACCCTCCTCCTCCACCCATTCTTCTTCCTTTTCTAACCCTTTCTCTGACTTCCATCATTATTCCACCTATTGCTTTTCCTTTTCTTCCAACTCTTTCTTTCTTTGCACCCTGTATACTCCAGAACTTTTTTGGCACCCTATTCTTCATCTTCTCCCATTCCTCTCGTTCCAGCCACGTCTCCATCAACCCCGACATTACACTCTTTTATCCTTTCCCAAAACTCTTCCTGTTTTTCCTTCACTCCCGCTACATTCCAAAAGTTTATCTTTAGGCTTCCTTTCTGTTCCTTCCTTTTTTTCCTCCCTCTTTAATTCTTTTCTTCCCCCTTCTCTTTTTCTCACCTCTTTTTCCTCTCTTTCACTCCTTTTTACTTTCCCCACTTTACTCTCTCTGACTCCTTTCCCCCCTCCCCTCAGCCTCACCACACTCCTTTTTTTCCTACTCTCCCTCTCCTCCCTCTTCTCTCCACTCTACCCTCCCATCGTTTTTCCTCTCTTCTCACTATCCTCCTTTTTCATTTTTTTGTCTCCCTCTTTTCTACTCTTTCCCTCTTCCTCTGTTCCTTTTTCTTCCCCCCCTCCTTCTTCTTGTTCCTCTTTCTCATTTTCCCATCCATCTGTCAGGACTTCTTTTTCCTCATCCCAACTCCACCACTTCCCCTCTATCCAAATCTTTCCGTACTTTACCCAAGCTCTCCTTCTATTCTTTCTCTCCTTCTCAGTTATCCTCTCCAGGCTCCATTACATTTTTCTTTCCTTCAAGGTCATGTCATCCTCTATTCTTTCCATCCTCCCTTTCCACACATTCTTTCTCTGCGTTACCTCTCTTTTTCTTACTCTATCTTTTAACCTAACTAAAACCATCTTCTTTTCTTTCCCCGTTTTTCTTCCTACCTCTTTTACCTCTTCTGTTCCTCTCTCTAGCCCCATCTCTAGCCATAGCTTCTTTACCGCTTCCTTTAGCCTTCCCTTCACCAACTCCACCCTTTTCACTACTACATTGTTCCTCCTTCTGTCTCTCTCTTCTAACTCTCTCCATCTTTCTAGCTCTCTTACCTTCGCTTCCATTGCTTTATCTCTTCTTCCCCCTTATCTCCCACTTTTCTTCCTCTTTCACTTCTCCCTGCCCTTTCTTCCTCCCATCTCTCCATCTCTTAATTAATATATTTAAATTTATATATTAGTTAACTTCTTTATATACACTACC